AGCCAACCAAATTATGATGAAGATTCCCCATGCTGGCTGGGGAATTCTGGGAGTTGAAGTCCACTCATCTTAAAGTGGCCAAGTTTGGACAACACTGGTATAGGAGCATGTAAGTCCCTTGCCTGCCCCTTTCTGAGACCAGGAGCATCTGCTGGATCTCCAGCTCTTAGGCAAATTGAAAGAACCTGCTTTGGTTGTAAACCCTGTTTCTGAAACTTCTTCAAAGGTGGCACTAGATAATGTCATAAAAGGGACACAACCCTAACCCTTCGTAATCCAGATTAAGAGATTGCCAAATTCCAAGACAGATCAGGAGATGGCTCTGATTAAAATCTGCCTTTGCAACTTGGTTAAGGAACCTCTCCAAAAATATCTATCATTCAGCAAAGTGCTTAATAACATAGATATTTTCAGCATAGGTAGACTTGACATCTTTGGCTAAATCATCAAAAACACTATCGTTATTTTATAATAAAATAGCACTTGGTGAGGTTGTCAGCTTGTGGGCATACATTGTACAGTACCCAGAAATGTCAAGTAGACTTTTTTGGTCTAGTTTTTTTTTAAAATGGATTTTGTGATTCAGCTGAGCAGGCTGAAGATCCGTAGAATGCAACTGTAATAGTGAGAAGACTTTAGTTGAACAGCTGTATTACAGACTCAGCAGATTCTCCATGCCCTTGGAAGCTTATCAATAAAGTGGGTGGGTTTTTTAATTTCTACAGCTGTCCTTGGCTAGCTGAGATGAACCTTTCATTCTGAACAAAGGTCAAGTGTTTCGACAGAGACACCTTTTACTTTAGGGAGTCATTCATTCATTCATTCATTCATTCATTCATTCATTCATTCATTCATTCATTCATATTCATTCATATCCAGGAAAGGAGGACATACAGAAATCCCAAACCCCTTTGTATTGAAGATTGTAATGCTTAGGACCCTTATGTAATATAATCACAGAAGCAGTGACAAGGCTCCAGTTCAAATCTTCCCTTCACCATGGAAATAATTGAGCCCAGCCTTTTGTTTTAGCAGTGTTAAGGTTAAAACAGGGAGCCAGCTTGGTGCAGAGATTAAAGACTCTGCACCAAAAAGATTAAAGACCAGGAGACCATGAGTTCTAGTCCTGCCTTAGGCCAGTCCCTCTCTCTCAGCCCCAGGAAGAAGAAGGAGGAGGAGGAGGCCAGGGCAAGCCACCTCTGAAAACCCTTGCCAAGAAAACTGCAGGGGCTTGTCCATGTAGGGGCCAGGAGTCAAGACCGGCTCAAAAGTGCATAAATAATAAATAAATGAGAATTGTTAAGATGGGAGGAGGAAAAAAATCTCCTTTGTTCCTACAGATCATCTTTTTTTCCTTTTTGGTACTTCCCACACTGTTCTTGAGTAATAACCACACCACTGTTTGCTTTAAAAGGGAAAAAAGCACTTCAGATTTCACCCAGTGAGCCTGTTTGGCACAAAATCTGACAGTATGAGTTCAAAGCCACATTCTTCGTGACAAAATAATAATAATAATAATAATAATAATAATAATAATAATAAT